ATCTCAGAAAGCTTTTATTGAATCGCAGCAAATTTTTTTATTGGAATAGACCAAGCGAAAACTAGTTTTCTAAAAGTTTTGAATCGTGATTTCGGAGGTGAAAGGTGCTAAATCGACGTATATCTTCTTCTATTTATTTTACTTTGTATTTCCGCTTTAAGCTTCAGTAGAACCTCTCTCCTGCAACGCTGCCATTATTGCACCTGCTTCATATTCAGCTGGGCTAAAAGTTAATTCAATATTTACTTTCGACATTTTAAGGCGCACTTTCATACTCTTCAAACAAATAGGTTATACTTCTGTCTGTCCATTGAAAGACTACCTTTCTCTTAACTATTTCTACCCTGCTGTGTACATCCGCACTGCTAAAACTCCCTTCATCTCATAAAATAATTGACATAATGGCTTATTGTTGAATTTTTGAATTGCCATGCAGATGTGGAGCACTTTAATTTCAATTGTTGTATCGAATTGCTTTGGCGGGCAATTAGATGGTGAAATATATGTTTGATTGTCAGCGTGTGTAGAGCTGTGGAAGGGAACATGGAGAGCTTGTGCCTCATCGAATTGCTGGTGCTGGGCTGTTTGGCAGCGCCACTAGCTCGTCACGCGACAGATGAATTGAACGGATGAATAGTTAAATCGACAAACTGACGCGACGAACAGACAATGCGACACGCAAACAATAAGATGGATGACTAGAAAAGGCCGTCCAACTAACTAACATAAAGCTCTCGGAGGCAGCAAATGCTCAGTTCAATTGAGCCCTTTCCCCGCTTTGTAGTTTACCTTTGGCGTTTTTTTTCTTTCTTTTCTAATCTGTTTTTTTATTATTTTTTTAAGTAAATAACAGCAACAACGCGCTATAGCTGTTGACAGCACTACTGTAGGCTGGAAGCTGCTTTTTTGGTCGGACGGTCGGTTGGATGGTTGGTTCGTTGGTTAGTTTGATGGTCGGTACGATGCATGAATGGCAGGTTTTTGATGTGGTAATGGTGGAAAATTGATTTTTCGTTGGAAATAGAAATTTACTTAAATTATTGCTTGTTGGCCAGCTTAATTGGATATTTTAATGAGGTTTTACAAGTCTTTCTTTTGTTGTTGTGATTTTTCGTATCTCACTTTGATCCATTCAGCATTTGAAACCTTAACTTGCCAAGTCTCGCATCTAGCTCTTAATATAATATGTGTACATAGATGTATATATGTATTTATACGAGTATATGTCTGTATGCAGCAAATGACTGACTGATGTAAACGACGCGACAGTGGGGGTGGACGTGTGATCAGCGAAAAGCGGCAATCGCACAATTTTCAACTAACAGCTATGGGATATGGTCACGGTGTTTGGGCGTTTTAAATTTATTTACATATTTTTTCTTTTAATTTTTTGTTAATAGCTTTATGGAAATTCATGGGCTCATAAACACATTGCATATCGCAAATTTATTCAAGAGCTGATGATTTGCTAAAAATGTAATATATCAAATCATTAATTGATTTTGGCGACAACTCATAATGTCCTATGATTTTGTATATAAATTTTCCGTCAAATTTATTTCAATTTCAGCCGTGTGTAAAGAATAATTTAGCGCTGTTTAGAGAGCTCATAAAATTAATTAATATCTTTTTTGCATTTAAACTCTTAATTTTAGCATTTATAAATCATCAAATAAACTCCGATTTTAATGATTTTTTTTTTGGGTATGTTAAAATGTCCGGGAAGTAGTCCTGTGACATATATGTATATATATATATATCGAAATAACTTGGTATATAGTGTATAATTCAGATATCTTATCTGTCCTAACTCGGTCCAACGATTAATGAATTATGACGGTTTAGGTCTTTCATGTGAACCAAATTATTTATGACGGCATCGCAAAATAGAATAACTGTTATTATTTGGTATATTTTACAAAAAATTTAAGAAAAATATTATGCAAGAAGTATATTACTTTGACGGTCGCGTTTCCCTAATGGTTAGATTTGAGTACTGCCATTCGGGAGGCCAGGGTTCGATTCTTGGTTCAACCAGCATTTATGGGGAAATTATTTTATAGAACACTAATTTAAATAAAAAAATTAACTAACTTTTTGTTGAATGGGTATTTTAATAAACAAATTTATCACTTTTGGAATGATGATAATTTTCTAGCAATTTTGCCCTTACATCCGCAAAAATTCACTATTTGGTGTACTCTATGGGCAGAGGGAGCCATTGTGAGTCATTATGTTACAGTTAATTGGGAACGCTATAGATGGCGCTGCATGCTAAGTAACCGACGAAACAATAAATTTATGGAAGAAACCCTTGGATGGGTTCAAGGTCATGTTATTTAATACGGCTGGATGTTTTTAAGTGGGCCCATATGAATTCGCTTGTCTACGCAGATAAGGCAACAACGATTGTTGTCTTTGAAGAGAATAATTGAGGCGTTAACGCTGAAAAATTGTTCCTCTTGCCTGGAATTTATTCGCGGGGGTCCATTTGTCCAAAAGAATTAATTCATATGTACTTTATTTGTCCTTGAGAATCACTTATCTCAAATAGCTCCCTTTAAATTTTATTTTATGGATATGAAAGATTTGAAAGAAATCCCTCTAAACTATATTGACAATTCAACAGAGAGTGAGATTCAAGTATTCGCCAAATTAAGCTTAAATTTATAATTTTCTACTTTATTTGGCAGAACAAAACGGTTGTGGGAAAACATTATTTTTCTTTGGGGGTGAGTGAAATTTTAGAAGAAATATTTTATTTTATGATAATTAATATAACTTTTACAACAAATAAGGTAAAAGCTCTGCAAAAGCATGCCTTAAAATGTTTTGATTTAAGGTGAGCGAGCACTAAGGGAACGTCGAACCAAAAGTGGTTAGCTTGATGCTGTTTCAGAAATGTCGATGTCAATGACACTCTCTTCCTGGTCAGCCAGCCAAACAAAAAGCTGACAAAATTTGCAGTTGGTGAACCAAGACCGTCATGCAGGCAGGAGATAGCGGAAGCACTCAAGTGACAATTTGAAATTATTTAAATAAAATTTGTTCGACCGAAGTACGATCAGTGAAACGCTTCTGGAATAGGACAAACGAAAGATTTATAAACCAACATATTACTGGCGGGGGAACAACTGGTTAAATACAGACAAGACGAACAAGGTAATGCTGATTGTCAACGAGCTTAGTGTGAACAATTAATCAGCTTGAGAACAGCCCAAAAAAAAGGTTCAGGATGACGTTGGCTTTCATAATGACAATACCAGACCAGATATATACATATTTGAAAGACAAGCAAGAACTGACAGAACTTGGTTTTAAAATATACAATAAGGTGTATCCACAGAACAGAATATCGCTTAAGGGAAGATATTTCTCACCATGGAAAGAGAACGATGGAATTTTAAGGGTAATTACATACTTACAAGATTTTCACAATTCCTATATGTGTATATGTACATAGATACAAAATCAGTAATAAATAATTTTTCTAATTTGTAATCAATTGGAATTTAAAAAAAAAATAATTTTGAAAGCAAAGACTAATCCACAATTTTACAATTTTTTTTTTTAATTGTAATATGGACAACAGCACTGTCAGCTACGAACAACGGTTTAAGTGTGGAAGAGTTGATAATAAAACCATATTTAAGTCTATCTACCTACGTATCGCGAACATAATTGGCACAATAATTGGTTTAAAATTATATCCAAAAACTGAAAAACTGGTTTATTAACGTCAGAAAATAGATAAAAATATGCCAAAAGACCAATATTTAAAATTAAACAAAACAATTAATGCCATGCATAATTATATTCATTTTAAAACATTAGTGTTGCTGAAACTAATGGTGCTTTACTAGGTAAGAGATTTTCGATGAATTTTAAATTCAAATAAATTTTCTTAATTAAAAGTTTCTGCAAATAATGAAACGACGGTCGCTTGGCCTCAATAATTGTGCCGTGAGTTTTCGAGTGAGAGAATCGAAGGATTTGGTTCTAGTAGTGAACGAGAGTAAGACGAAATATCTCCTGTCATCAAACAAAGAGCCATCACATTCGCGACTCGGCTCTCACGTCTTTGTTGATAGTCAGAAAATTGAAGCCGTAAATAACTTCATCTATCTTGGAAATAGTATCAACATCAACAACAATGTAAGCATGGAAATGCAAATCTAACAGGTGCGACTTCGGACTGAGTAGGCAATTGAAGAGTAAAGTCCTCTCTCGATGAACATAAACCACACTCCTAAAGTCGCTTATCGTTCTCGTCTTTTTATATGGTACGGAGGCATGGACGACGATAATATCTGATGAGTCAGCGTTAGGAGTTTTCGACAGAAAGGTTTTGCGTAAGATTTACGCTCCTCTACGAGTTGGTAACGGCAAATACCGCAGCCGAAAGCGAATCTATACATTGGTATAAATAACCACAGCTGGTGCTTACAATATCGCAGTCCGAAAATAATCGCAAACTAAGCAATGACTTCCAAATCACTAAAGCATCATTATGATTTCTGTGGTGGAATTGAAAGGATAAAAAACAAACTTCCTAAACTTTTGAGCTTTTCATTGTTAAATTTGTGATTGTAATGAAAATAAATTTGCTTTGAAAAATATGAGAAAGAAGACGTGAATTATCTATCGACCGAACCAATAACAACATTTAGATGCGGCTTAAATGATTTTGGCTTCCAAAAGTCTTACTTCTCCAGCAATAACTACCAAAACTAACCAAGACGAAAAATTTATCAAAGAAAGCTTTAAATTGTGGAGTGACAATTGGGATTCAGTCAGTTATAAAATTCTTTGATTTAATCGAAATATAATTTTTCAATAAAATTAAAGTAGATATAAAAAAAATAAAATTCTTTCCGACATAAAATTTCATATTAAAGGAGATAAAATTGCTATAGTGTATTAAATATTTTATGATTCTAGCAGCAAGTACTAATCTTTTTTTTTGCATAATAACCTTGCCCACTTTAAGCGTTGCTCACCTTATTTCCATGATCCAAAGCAAAAATATTAAGAACTTGTTACGATTTTTCCACATTTCTTCGTAGAGTTTTTGTGTGTGCGTCTGGCAATCGCATCATCACACTACAAATTTACGACAACTACCACAGCACATGGGCACTTTTAGCAAAATAAATTTACGCGTTTGTATTTTTGTGTGAATGTGCACTTTCTTATTGCTAAAGAAATCATATATTTTTTTATTTATGAATGTATGTTTATAAAAAATATATATAACGATAAGAATTTGTCGTTTTCACACTAAACCACTCACATTTCTAAGCGAATGGAAAATTGTTAAACGCTTTAGATTTCACAGTTTCGCAGTTTGGCGTTTATTTGGGTGTCGAATGACGGCGTTATGTTGTGCATTTGGATGCTAATTGGATTGGCTGGACCACGACGGCTGACGACGGTTGTAGAATTGATTGCGCGCACAAGGAAACGTTGTTTGTTGGTTGTTTGTTGGTGTAAAATTAGAAAAATTTACGCGACCCGCATGAGCCCGCAATATGAGTAAGATTCATGCGCGAGGCCATGACTAAGAAAACAGTGCGTGATCATAACTTGCAGCAATTGGAATGACTCTTCTTTTTGGTTAGAATTAATGTATGCAACTCGGTGAACAGGTATGTGTATTTATTACTTATTTTTATATTTTAAGTCAGTATTTTTAAGCTCAACTTAAGATTTTTTTTTACTATTCAGAAGATTGCACTGTAAGAAATATAAATTTTTTTTACTAATTTGCGTCAAGATTCATATATATGTGAATATAATATGTTTATAATCATGTGTAGATATATTTTATGATGAAAATTTTTTTTTTTTGAACATTTAAGCGTAAGGAAAAAGCAAGAACTGTGTTCGAGACAGAAAATTTAAAGATGTGTATGGATTCAAAGTGGATAAACACAATAAACATTCATTTTTTTTTATTTTATTTTATTTTATTTTATTTTATTTTATTTTATTTTATTTTATTTTATTTTATTTTATTTTATTTTATTTTATTTTATTTTATTTTATTTTATTTTATTTTATTTTATTTTATTTTATTTTATTTTATTTTATTTTATTTTATTTTCCATTATTTTATATTATTTCTTTATTTATTTTATTTTGTTTTAATTTTTATGAAGTTTATTTTATTTCTTTTATTTAGTTTGAATAATTTTATATTTATTTATGCAATTTTACTTTGTTTTATTTTATGTCATTTTAGTTAATTATTTTTATTCTCTTTATATTGTTATTTTCTTTTTATATTTAATTTAATTTACTTAAGTTTAAGCATTTTTGTAAATTCCTTATATGTGTGATTTTATTATATATTTTATACATTATAATATTTGATTTTACTTTACATTATTTTATATTGTTTAATCTGAATTTATTTTTTATTTTGTTTGAATTTTTTATGTTATTACTGTAAGATTATTTGTCTTTATTTTATGTCATTATTTCAAATTTCAGTTAAATTTAATTTTATATAATTTTGTTATATTTCATTTACGTATGTATATATTTGTATTTAACTGTATGTATTGACCATTTCCAACGTAATACAAATGTTATTACAAATTCACACATTAATTTGGGGAGAAGCCCACACCGGCGGGTGAACAACTTGCTTACATTGGCTTACAAACGGTTCACCAATCAGGCAGCATGCGACATGCCGCAAACTGGCCGCAAGGAATATGTGTCAAATTGAGTGGGGCGCGCAACTATGCATATGTGGAGTTATTAAGTCATTATGCTAACCAAGACGGACGAGTGTAGACAAACTGGCAAGTGTACGCAGTCGAGCATAGGTATTGTGTGCATATCTACATACCCATCTGAATATGAATGTAATCTGTGCCTGCTCACAGCACTAAGCCGACGGCCCACTGAGCATCATACACATTGTGCATGAGGAATTAACATAAATCATATAGCATATTTTTCAGCAGCTGACTGAGTGATGTCTTTAGCACTCACAACGAATTTATATACGCGACTCCACAAATAATTTCATATATGTATACGTAATGGTTTATCTGCACTTTCAAGTCAAGCTTCTTTTCCACTTTCTAGCTTGGCGGTATTATATCATAAAAGTCTTCATGATTCCGGCAATTCATCTCAATTTCAGTTAGTTTAAAAAAGCGGTCTTTAAAAGTTCTAATTGTGCACTCATTTGCTTTAGCTTTTTATTTCGTTATTTGACTAATTCAATATATATTTTTTTTCTTGAAAATCACATTTGCACTTCGCGAAATAATAAAAATGGAAGAAAATTTAACACAAACAAGTAAATAAATAAGTATGCGCCGTGCCCCAATAGACAGCAACCAGTTCAGTACGTTTGTTGCTGACCAGTTATCGCCTCCATCACTAACCGCTTAGCTCATCTATCAACTCATCCATTCATCGCATTTACTTCAACCGTCTTCTTTTAATGCCTAGATTTATTTAATTTATTTATTTTTTATTATGTTTTCTATTTTTCTCATCTTTTCTTACTCCGCGCATTCGGGTTGCTTTTTCCAAATTCCTTTCAAGACTTTGATAAAGCATCGCGCCCGGTGGCGTGCTTGTCGGACGAGCCCCATTGCCTTTGGCCGCAGCAGTGGTGAGAACTGATGCAATAACCATCAAATGCACAGCAGGTGAAAACAGCTTACTACAAAAATATGCTAATGTGCCGAGATAAATTATCGCCAGTCACATTCTCAAATTGCCGCTGCTCGTTTCAGTGTTTCGGCCTTATTTCATTGCCGCGGAAGCTGACGCGACCGCTTAATGTTTAATCGCCGAAAATTTAAACACACGTTAGCGTGTACCTTTGAATCTTCGCAAAACCCGCCCGTTGAGCCACCTAGTGAGCCCCACAAAAATTAAAAAAAATCCACACAGTTGTTGCCTTTAAGGATCATCACCAAATTACCGACTTTAATGCGACAAAGTTGTCACGCAACACACACTATCAAAAACACTTTTATAGGCCATCATCACATCAGTGGGATTTCAAAACATTCACAAGTGAAGGAAAAACGATAAAAAAAATGGATCGGTAATAAAAATTAACCGTCAAATGCTACCGATGCTCATAATGAAGTTATTTACACTGCTTTGCCACTTTGTCGTAAGCGCCGTTCCGTCTTCACTTTCGTTTGAACGCTCGTATACGTTTCATGCGCTGTAATACCTCTAACCAGCTCGAATGTCGTACGGAAACTGGCAACTGGAATCGCCCGTTTTGGTCAGCAAGCAGATATTGCAGCCGAACGGACCAATCGTCTAGCTGGTTCGAATTGGTAGTCGTCTGTGAATAAGTATATGAGTTTTTGTTTGTGTATAAGTCAGGCTCAAACCTGCGCTTAGAGTTCAAGTTCGAGTCATGCGCAGCGTACGAACTCACCTGTGATCTGTAATACAAACACATGCACACTGTTCAGCTAGGCGGTGGTAGATGCGATCGCTGCTGAGTTTGAACGGCTGTCGTGTGTAGCCGTGTGTGTATGTGTGTGTATGTGTGTGTGTGTTTGAATGATCTCATGAAAGTTCTGAATGGATTCTAATTGGCTATAGAAAATTTTGAAAGTCGAGAAGACAGTTTGAATGATGATAATGATGTTGTTAGTTGATACTGTGTAATTGATTGATGAGTAAGTAGTATTGGCTATACAATCAGCTTCGTCATTTTCAGAGCAAATCGGAAATACTCATAATTCATTAATACTTTAATAGGCACTCATTCAATGGCAATTAATATAAAGTATTAATATCGAGCTTCATTTCCACATACATTGTAAATATATCTAGACTAAACAAATTAAGTTGATATATCTTAATTTATTTAATATTTCTAGTATTATGATTCGACACACACAACTCCACATTTAGGATGCTGGCCTTCTGTTTTATAATCACAGGTAAAAGAAAAGATGACCGAGCTGATGAAATCTTAGACGTGACTTTTAGGATGGAACACCCTGAAGTGTAATGGATTGAAGTCAATCTTCTGGGTATTGAGTTATAGTTTCTGGACTGCGCTCCATTCGTACTATTGCGTTCACGTCGCTCACCCTGGAAACGTCAGCAACCCTTCCTGCGAGAGGTGGTATCCTACCGGTGTGGAGTCTTGGGTCACGGCTAAATAGAGGAAGCTTCAGATGGGCCACTCCCACTTATTCGGTTTGAAGGTTCGTTGAAGTCTAACTACAGCGTCTGTTCAACAGAAGAGCGGCTGCTTGAGGAAGACGATCTTGAAGTAAGCAGTTTGCTTTATAAATGTATACAAATTTTAAACTTTCTTGCCTATGAAGTTTTTGGTTTGGGTCCAATGAAAAAATTAACAACGCCTCGGATGAGACACCTCTTCTGATTGTGATGCCTGTAAGAGTATTCAAGATCACGATCTGAGGGCATGCGTCTAGAATATCCCACACCTTCTTTGGGTGGATGACGCTGCCCAGCTGTTTGTTATTCTAACTAAACTGAAGGCTGACGGACGGTGGTGATGTCCAAGAAGTGCGATGGACGGCACATAGACGGAAACGAGTAGGTCCCTGTGACATTTATTACAATGGTCATTTAAAGGGGATCGCAAATTTGGTGTCGGACTCGTGGTGGGAGAGAGACTAAATCGATTGGTAGCATTCTCCGCAGAAGATGAATGTCTCACCACTATCCGTATAAAAAAAGACATTTTTTATTATATCACTGATTTTCGCACTCATCAGCAACTCGGTATAAGGGAACTGCGGGAACAGCTGCAATCGAAACTATTGCACTTCATAAAGGTAGCAAAAACAGCTGGTACAATGACTACTTCCATGTGGAGAGATAGCAGGTTGCCTACCTGGCAACATTACGATCAACCACTAGACGCGCGGGCTTGTTAGATACCGAGAATTGAAGAGGAAAGCGAGGCGCATGTGCAGGAAATAAAGGGACCGAGTTGGGTGAGTATAAAGAGCTTGAAAAGTTGGCTGGTAACGGCAATGCTCGAAAATTTTACAAAAAGATACGGCGAATTACAGAAAGTTTCAGGACTTGAGCAAACTCTTGTATGACACAAAGAGATGATCTAGTGACGGATGCCCAGAGAATACTGAATATAATATGCTGAGGGAACACTTCTCCAACCTGCTTAATTGCTATGAAATTGCATCACCAGGAGACGACGAGCGCGGTGTACAGCCACTGGCGTGAACCAGAACAAGACGAAATATCTCCTGCCATCAAACTAACAATCAGTTTATTCGCGGCTTGACTCCCACGTCAGTGCTTGCTTTGAAATCGTAGATATCTTTAGTCTATCTAGGAACCACCAATAACCATGCGAGCCTAGAAATCCAGCGTTGAATCACTCTTGCCTATAGAAGCTACTTTGAACTGAGTAGGCAATCGAAAAGTAAAGTCCTCTCGAAGAACGAAAACCAGACTATACAAGTCGCTCATCATACCCGTCCTTCTATATGACACGATGTCAACAGCCGATGAGTCGGCTTTGGGAGTCTTCGAGAGCAAGATTTCTACGATTTGGAATGATGAGCTGTGCGAGATATATGGCGACATTCACATAGTTCAGCGATTCAAGAAACAGCGGAAAGCCAGGGTTCTACCAATATCCAAAACTTAATAGGTCCTACAAAATTTAGACATTGGAGCGTTTAAAATTGCAGAAGAAGTGATGGGTTTCAATCTTTTTATTCTGGTACGATCAACTTTCCAAAAGTTATAAAGAACATATTTCAATAAAAATTAAGTTGAATTTTCTATTGCGGTCGTCCCTCGGCAGAAAATGTCAACTCCTGCAAGTATACTTCTGACGTGAAATAAAGGCTCCTCGTAAAAACCCCATCAGCAGTTCGGAGTCGGTTTAGTATAAACTGTAGGTTCTTCCATTTGTTGGAAAAACATCAAGACGCAAAACCACAAATTATTATTCATTTGAGGGCAAGACCAAGGATGTCATTTGCTAAAATATTATCTCCTTTTCAGTATTTTTTGTGAATTATGTCAATTAAGTGCGATTTTATATGACAATTTGGTTGTTTTACCACTGTGCAATTGCAGATTTGGCCTATCACACAAAACAGTCGATTACTTTGTTGTGGTGAACTTTTTTTTTATAAAATTCAACTAAATTGTTTATTTTAAATTAAAATTTTTAGACTTTTCGAATAGAAAAAATAGAGCGGGGAACACTCCCTAACACTATTTTCTTTAGCAATACCGAACACTGACCCTAAATGTCAAACATTCCAAAAATATTAAAAAATTTTGAGAAACAATCCTGAACTGTATATAGACCAGTTGAAGATCCATAAGTTTTCTGTTCCATTTTCGATCTGTCAGAGAATTTACTTATAACAAGTTATAAGTCCTCTGATCAGACTTCGAACGAGTTGGTTGCGCAAACTAATTTTTTGCTAGCCAACAACTGTATCAAACATGTTGCAAACAAAAATTGCTAATTGGTAGTATGTTAACATGTATTCAGTAGCGCGCATGAATCTTGTAATTAGACAAACAATTCTAAAATTGAGTTTTATTAAACAGACAGTAAATTTGAGTATGAACAATAGAACCGTGAGTTGAATGATTTAAACAAATGTTATGTGTCAGGAGATGTCAAAAAAGCGCGATTGTGCACTATTAAAAATAATAAAAAATATATAAAAAAAAGTGCATTTTATTGCAAACAATATTTGTGCGTACACTGGCACATATGTACAATATGTACATTTAACTGTCACGCAGCTGCCACTGCTTGAACTCTGACTCCCTCTAGCATAGTGACTTTACTTAAATGGCAAGACACAATGGCTTACAGATTGGCAGCGAAAATGGAAGTGGAAAAGCGCCGCGAAATTAAGAGATCTTCTCATTTTGGCAACTAAGAAAAAATAAAAATAATTTATTTAGATATATATATTAAACTTACGTAAACATTCATACACTTTGTTAGGCTGCACTTTGTCAACATGTGAGGTAACGATGTAATGGCGTGATGTGATATACCACGATGTGATGTGACGAAGTGATATTACATCACGTGATATATGCATGATCTTGAATGCGTTTGCGGACAAAATTTGGCTTTCAAGTGTGATCAAATTAGTTGCATACAACAACAACAACAACAACAACATCCAAATGATTTTCAAATGAAATGCAGCAATTAAACTGCAGTTGATATAACATTTACTGTCCGTGGGGAGTCTACTTAAAAATTCACATAACTGAAATAGTAAATAAAGTTGTTAGCCGCTTACTTTGTTACACACACAAAAAATTTTTATAGCCAATTTCGATAATACTATTTACCAAACATATTAACCATTTTTATATGACTTATTACACGCCAGTTCGGCAGCTCGTGCGTGGGCCGCTGTGTCGTATATTGGGATAACTTTAAGCGGCTTAAGTAGCCAAATGACAAATTGGCTCACAAAGCGCCGCTGCCAATTGATGTGCGCAGATGGTTGGTTATAAATATTTATGTGTGTGTCTGCGATTATAACGGACTCAATGACTTTTTGGGGATGCTTAGATACTCGTTCATACATACGCACATATAAGTTAGTATGTTGTGTCTATTATGTGACATCTTCACCGGCGCGCGTGTGACGAAATTTTAACCAGTTTTATGACGATCATTTAAGAGCTGCTCGAAACTGGCCGAACTGACGTGGTTGATTGTTGTTTTTTCACAGCTTTTATTTGTCTATTTTCGGTAATCTTCATTTCGATTGCTATTCGTTGTTATTGTTGGTTTTTTTTTTTTGTCCTCTAAAAATAATCAACACTTTTTTCTTGTTGTTTCGTGTCAGCAGACAAATTTACGAGCTTAATTGGCGACGACTTTCTTTTGAACAACCATATTTAATTCATTGAGCTTTTTAAGATTAGTAGTTGTATGTTATACCCAGCGAATGGGAGCACAAATATTGTGTATTATATTTATAGTTTTGTTAAGAGATGCAACTTTTATAGAAATTGTAAGGCTACAGCAAAGAAAAGTGCAGTGAAAAAATACAGTAATTACTCATACTCAAGACCCTGCTGTGTGGAGCATACGAGAAATAAAGCAAGCAAGAGCAAAGATCCATAAGTGCTCTCCAAAATTGATCTATATGTTTTTGGATTCATAAATAACTATTTTATTTAATAATGGTAACTTTTTTGTGATCTTACATTTGAAGAAAAATCATTGTAAATGTTATAAACAAACGAATTCAAAATTGTGTCCAAACACCACGAGTATAATGTTCACGTTCAAACGTTAG